TGAGACAGTGAGAGAGTCTGAAAGGACTTTTAATATGAGATTTCTTACCAAGAAAAATGACTAGTGAGTAAATTTGGGCTCCAGAACTTTCTGTATCTTCTGCATGAAGTGGAAAACACACTCCGTTGGTGCCATAGTAGTTTTTGAAAAGTCCCTTGTTGCTCAGTGGGAGGAAAGCCACTATAAACCCAAGAGTCCAAATGAGAATCAGAGCTATAATCGTTCTGTATTTTCCAGGTCTTAACGATCTAAAAGGATATACAATGCAGATATATTTTTCCAATGTCAGAAAGGTTAAAAGTAAAACAGATACTTCTGTGGACAGAATGGCCAAAGAACCCACAAGCTGGCAGTCAGCACTCTCCATCCACAGCTGTGCATGCTTATTGTATTCTCCACGAAATTTTAGGTCGAAGGATCCAATCACAAGTAAATAGATTCCCATTAAGCAGTCAGCACCTACGTGGATCGGAAAGTTTCACAAACTTAGAGAATATGTAGGTACAAAGGAATTATCAGCAATATTTTAAATGATATTAGCAGTAAATAGCCAAATTGCTTCTGTTTGGGGGGAGGGGTCATCTTATACTTCTAAAAATGTGCTTATGGAAAAGGCTCACTTGGTCAATTTCTATTTCATAGCCACATTTACATTATCCTTTACAGCTAATTAAGTAATAAATTGTTAATGTGCATTTTCCTCAAAACAAATCTCTGAGGATAGGGATTTTATCTATCTCATACAGTCCCATCACCTAAAAGTGTTGAGTAGATAAATAAAATGCTACTACATTGAGGCTCCACCCAGTTAGGGCCTAGAGACATCATTATTTGGAACAGCCTTTCCATGGAAATTCTCCCAGTGTAGGGAATGAGGACCATGATTTAAACTGCAACTGAAAAGAATTCAGCAGTTACTGAGAGGGTCATGGGTATGGTGTTTGAAGTCTGTAACTTAGAAGATAGGAGTAACTCTGAAGTCAACTAGAGTCAGAACAATTTGGGGGAATAAAATCATTTGCCTAGAAGTGTCCAGGGAACAATTGCTCTCCTAGTTTCCACAGCTTTTCACCTACACTTCTTTGTGGCACATTTTCAGGTTTTTTCACCCCAAAGAGCCAACTCTAAGTGAGATACACTACGAGGTGCATTTGCTTTAATCACCTATCAGAGGGTGAGCGAGGTTTTTTTAACTGCACAGCATTCCACCCTAAGTTTCTCAAAGGGCATCACTATATGGGTCTTAAGGTTAATTCTAAATGCTACAGTTATACGCTAGCCTTCACCAGAGAAATTGAGATTGTTAAATTTTTGTTAGCAATACAGAATTATAAACAATTTCTAAACTCTCTTCCTATGTACTGAAAAATAATCAGATAACTGAGTAATGATGAGGAAGAGGCATGAGACAGCACACATTTTAAAAACAGCATAATCATAGTAGACTATCATTTAATTTTTCGAAAGGAGTATGAGTGTATTTTGCCCCCTTGACAGAGATTATATATTCTATGGATTGGGTTCTAGTTTATTTTTCTTTGTAGTTCTCATTTAACACAACACTTTGCAGTCATAATTCAAAATTTAAATCCCCCCAAATATTCTCTTCCTATGAAAAGCTGCAAACTATGGTAGCAAAAGGTTTAGTTGCTTGGAGTTCAGAAAAACAACTGCCATCAACTCAATATCCAGGGACTAGCCATGAAAATGAAACCAGAAAACCCCCAACCAAAAAATCTTTTGGTGTAGAGACCACTAAAGAAGGCTGACATTTTACTTTGAATGCAAGACTGCTGGTGTTTTATCAACAAAATATTATACCTTTAGGGGCTCTGTATGGAAGAAAAACTAATGAATGAGATCATCGTTTATTCTATATGTGTGGAATTTACTTACTTAAAAAACATTTTGTGTTCTTTCTTAAAGTTATTGTATTTTCGTTGCAAGAAATGTGGAAGAACATTTTAAATCTCATCATCCTACCAATCAGTTTGATTTACCCATTTCTTAATAGTAAATGCTTTCATGTGTTTAAAAGCCTTAATTACTCTTCAACCAGGATATACTCACAGCACAGAGAAATGATTGACATGGCATGCAGTCTGTTCTCAGACCTGATATAAGGTCGCATACAAATAACAAAGATGTTTCCAATGCAGGTAGTTGCAGATACAACCCAGACAAATATTCTCTGAATAATGCTTGCCAAGAGATTCTCTACAGATGAAATCCCATCAGTGTTTGGTTTACAGCTGCGAACATGTGGTGCATATCCACAGTACTGGAATTTCTTAAAATACCTAGGGTACAAATAGAAGACAAAATAAAATTCTCATTTTGTGTCACGGTCACTATACATTATTATTTGAGACCCAGAGAAGAGTAAAACACTAGGGATAATACTAAAGCTTTAGACTTAAGGTTACTTCTTTTTTTTCCCCCTTATTGATTTAACTTTCCTGTAACAGAATGTGTGGGTGAGAACTGCGAATTGCCATAGCGGATATCTTAGAATATAAATAAACTGTTAAGCTGCATTCAAGAGATTTCATTTCTCTAAGGAAACTTACAGTGGGTTTTCCGTGTTTAAGATATATACATGCATTATAACTTAATTCTTCTAATTGCTGCAACTGATTATCATTTTCCCCTCAGGTGAAGATAAGAGTCATGTTTTCTCTTCTTGCATTTCCATAGCTTTGCTACTACAGGATTCATTATGCTATCTTCCAGTTCTGCACTGTAGTTGGCTTACATTTTGCTTTGATACTCAAAGCTGTGCCACTGGTAGTTCAAATATCAGCAGGGAGTAAAGGCAAGGCTTTACTCCCATAAAGAGTTACAGTCTTGGAAACCCACAGGGGCAATCCTACCCTCTCCTATGGGGTCATTTTGTGTCAGAATTGACTCCATAGCAGTGAGTGAGTTCTAGGTATCAGCAGTAAATCTCCACAACTCCAAGACATAGCTCTAGCATTACCATATGAGACTATAATTTTCAGTGGAGCCAAATTATTTGGTAGGAAATTTTCTAATAAATGCAGAAAATGGAATTAAAGTTAGATTTGTATTTAAAGCCATGTGCTCTAGTAAAAAGAAAATATTTTTATATTAAAAAGAACTACAGTAATAAAAGCTTAATGATTACAATATACAACCCCTTTAAATTCAAGTTCAATTGCTGTGTATTCATCCTGTTCCATCCCAATCTGCACATTATTTCCTCTGTAAGTTCAAAATAAGTCTCTATGAGATTCTTTCAAATTACAGAACATGATATAGCAACTGTAACTGGATTAATAACTACCTAGAGAAATGGCAGGCAGAGTTGGGGGGAAATGGGGAGCTAACAACGAGTACAAGAAAAAGGAAAGTGTTCTAAAGTTTACTGTGGTGATGACTGCACAACGCATCTTAATATGATTGGACTATTGAATTGTATGATATGTGAAGTCTATGCCAACAAAAATTGTGGACAATGAAAAAGCACCCTCTTGTAAAATCAAAGTAAAAGTTAATTATTTTAGAGTTGTTTTATTTAGGCAAATTACTCAGTATAGGTTAACAGCACTGTGGTACAGAAATACATGTAGATACATAAATATATTAAATCACGATGAAGAACCTGAAAAGCATCTACTTACATGTGGGAAAGGTTCACAAGAGGTTGAAACATCCTTCGTTGGATATTGGAAATTTCAATCCCTTCTAAGCTGCTAAAAATGTCGAATTAATAATGAAAGAAAATAATACATATGTTAAATTTGGTATCATAGAAATGGAAAGCTAAAAGCCATGCAATAAAAATGCTTTTAATTCACACATAAGCTGAATGAAAAGATGATATTCTGCACATGCTAGTCACTGCCCCCATTCCTCCTCTTTTTGATTCAGTTATTTATAAGCATATCTCTTCACTATTTGATAAAAAAAATCTTTACAGATCATGGTACATGCTATGTACATAGTAACTGCTGTTATTGCTGTCCAGTCTGCTTCAACTCGTGGGGATCGTATAACAACATGAAACACTACAGGCATTGTGGCATCACCATCATCATTGATATATTTGAGCCCTTTGTCGTGGCTATTGTGCTAATCACGGAACGTTTCTGTTATTTTCAACTTTACAAAACATGATATTCATCTGAAGCAATTGGTCTTTCCTGATATGTCCAAAGTAAGCAAGAGAAGTCATGTCACTCTTGCTTTCAGGGAACACTTGGGCTGTATGTTGCCAAAGGCTTATGTGCTCATTCTTGTGGCAATTGGAAAGACCATGGCTTGGGTTAGGCACACTTTAATGATTCGGCACAGCTAATGATCAAAGTGATCATCTTAGCTTTGTACAATCTCAAAGAAGTCTAGCAGCAAATCTGCCCACTGCCTGGGGTTTTGATTTCTTGACTGCAGCTTCAGTGGACATTGATCCAAGAAGAATGAAATCATTGACAATTTCAACTTTTTCTCCATTTATAGTATTATTTATCAGTTCAGTGGTTAGGATTTTTTTTTTCATGCTCACATGCAATCCATACTGAAAACTGCAGTCTTTTCCACTATCAGTAAATGCTTCAGGTTGTCTTCATTTCAGCAAACAAGTCATTTACATAGTGTTATTGATGAGTCTTCTTACAATCCTGATGGCACAACA